CTCAAAATCCTACAAGGTAGGCTTCAGCAGTATGTGGACTGAGAACTCCCAGAAGTACAAATCAAATCAAAACAATCAAGTACATTCATTTTCATTGTAAGTATATACATAGTATACCTATACAACGAAATTCACACTGACACCCAGAGACCAGATCCGCATGGACACCCATAAAAAGCTGGATTTCAAAGGGACAGAGGAACTAGAAATCAAACTGCTTACATGCTCTAGATTATAGAGAAAGACAGAGAGTTCCAGAAAAGCATCTACTTCTGCTTCATTGACTACATAAAAGCCTTTGACTGTGTGGACCACAGCAAACTATGGCAGAATACATCGTAAGAAAAGCCAGACTGAAAGAATCCCAAGGTGGAATTAAGATTGCCGGAAGAAACATCAACAACCTTCGATATGCAGATGACACCACTCTGATGGCAGAAAGTGAGGAGAAAATAAAGAACCTCTTAATACAGGTGAAAGAGGAGAGTGCAAAAAATGTCTGAAGCTCAACATCCAAAAAGCTAAGATCATAGCCACTGGTCCCATCACCTCCTGGCAAATAGAAGGGGAAGATATGGTGGCAGTGAAAGTTTACTTTCTTGGGCTCCGTGATCACTGCAGATGATGACAGCGGCCACAAAATTAAAAGACACCTGCTTCTTGGGAGGAAACCTAGACAGCATCTTAAAAAGCAAAGACATCACCTTGATGACAAAGGTCCTCATAGTCAAAGCTATGTTTTTCCTGTCGTGATGTATGGAAGTGAGAGCTGGACTATAAAGAAGGCTGACTGCCAAAGAATTGATGCTTTTGAATTGTGGTGCTGGAGGAGGTTCTTGAGAGTCCGTTGAACTGCAAGGAGAACAAACCTATCCATTTTGAAGGAAATCAACCCGTAATGCACACTGGAAGGACAGATCCGGAAGCTGAGGCTCCAATACTTTGGCCATCTCATGAAAGAAGACTCCCTGGAAAAGACCCTGATGTTGGAGAAGTGTGAGGGCAAGAGAAGGGGAGGACAGAGGATGAGATGGTTGGACAGTGTCATCGAAGTGACCAACATGAATTTGACCCAACTCTGGGAGATAGTGGAAGACAGGAGGCCCTGGCGTGCTCTGGTCCATGGGATCACAAAGCGTTAATGACTTAACAACTAAACAACAAACAGCCCTTTTTCTTTTCCTGTCAAAAATTTTTGAAACAAATTGTCTGAGATACTACTGTAGAAACAGTGCTCAGAAATGTTGCTTTTTTTGACTACAGGTTCCAGAATCCTGCTGTGAAAATTATTTTTACATGCCTCTTTAAAAAAGCAGTGCAATAGAATTTCAAAAAAGGAGCAAAATCTGCACTTCTTTGTACTCTTCCCCCCGGAAACAATACTTTGTTAATACAAATACCAAATGTGCCTCAGACTTCACATTAAATTTCTATTTAAAAGTAATTAGTTACATTTATAGGTCCAAAGTCCCAGAAGTAGTTTCAGTTAGAATTACAGTTTTGAAAAGTATTAACTTTCCCCCCCTGTATCTCAAAAACATCAAAAAGAGGCCAGAATCCTATTGGTAATTTACACTTGCACTTGCTGGATAGCCCAGTGAGTTGGGGACCCAGCTATTGAGCTAAATGATGGGAGTTCAATACCTCGCTGTGCCTTGGGCAACCTGCACAGTCTCAGAGTGCCCTCAGAAGAAAGGAATGGTTAAGACACTTCTGAGTATTATCCACCTAGGAAACCCTGGAAAGGGTTGTTTTAAATCTTGAAGGTATAGAATTATTATTATTAAGAGAAATCACATTAATTGTGTGGGCAAACTGATGAGCTGGTTGCATTCCATGTCTGATCATATAATCAGGCACAGGACTAGGAAAGCCACCAGCGCTTCATTAATGAGCAAATTCCCATTAATGACTTGCACATTTTTTATTTATACAAGTATGTATAAATAAGAAATGGGAATCTGGCCAGAGTTACTTTTAGTTACTTTTGTTTAAAAGTCTCAGTGGTACAAGTCACTACCTGGTGGCCCAAAATACTGTATGTTCTCCTCTGCAATGGTTATGCTTCCTCACAGGGTCTAGGTCCAGCGGTCCAAAGCAGCAGCAGCTTTGGTCTCTGTCCACGGTCACTGCAGGATTCTGGGAACTGTAGTCGAAAAGTAATTTTAACCTCAAGCTCTGATTTTAAAAGCTTTTTTAAAATGATCCAGATAGGTTCATTCTGACAGATTGTTTCCATGTGCCATAAACATAGAAATGCAATTATAACACCTCTCTCTCTCTCTCTCTCAAACTCTTGCCTTTTTCTTTTCCAAGGGGAGATTACATAGTAGTATAGCAACTGAGGGCAAATTAACATTATGGAAGTATAATAAAGCAAGCCGAAACCCACTCTCATTGTTCTGGCGAGTGGTTTCATGCTAATCGCAGAAAAGGCGACGAGGCAAGGCTCATCCAAAAAGCTAAGATCATAGCCACTGGTCCCATCACCTCCTGGCAAATAGAAGGGGAAGATATGGTGGCAGTGAAAGTTTACTTTCTTGGGCTCCGTGATCACTGCAGATGATGACAGCGGCCACAAAATTAAAAGACACCTGCTTCTTGGGAGGAAACCTAGACAGCATCTTAAAAAGCAAAGACATCACCTTGATGACAAAGGTCCTCATAGTCAAAGCTATGTTTTTCCTGTCGTGATGTATGGAAGTGAGAGCTGGACTATAAAGAAGGCTGACTGCCAAAGAATTGATGCTTTTGAATTGTGGTGCTGGAGGAGGTTCTTGAGAGTCCGTTGAACTGCAAGGAGAACAAACCTATCCATTTTGAAGGAAATCAACCCGTAATGCACACTGGAAGGACAGATCCGGAAGCTGAGGCTCCAATACTTTGGCCATCTCATGAAAGAAGACTCCCTGGAAAAGACCCTGATGTTGGAGAAGTGTGAGGGCAAGAGAAGGGGAGGACAGAGGATGAGATGGTTGGACAGTGTCATCGAAGTGACCAACATGAATTTGACCCAACTCTGGGAGATAGTGGAAGACAGGAGGCCCTGGCGTGCTCTGGTCCATGGGGTCACAAAGAGTTGGAAATGACTTAACTACTAACAACAACAAAGTCACAGAAATACACCTCATAAGGTGGTATGAAAAATTGTTTGCAACCCGTGGCCCCCTTCAAATGTGCCAGTGTCCCCCCCCAGGCCGTATGGCCCCTACTGAGAATGACTGGACTAGAAGACACAGAAGACTTAGGCACAGAAAATCACTGAGAGCGAGCAGTGGTGAGCCACTCCTTGACAATTTCTAAAACCTTGAAAATGCTGCTAGGGTTGCCATAAGTTGGAAGTGACCTGATGGCACACAACAGCAAGAACAACGGAAAGAACAGACCACAGGGACATCCAGGTCCTTTTATTAGCTTCGGACTAGCAAGATAGTGTTGCATCGAAATAGTATGCTGTCATAGAATCCTAGAAAAGTGAAGTTGGAAGGAGCCTATGAGGCCATCCAGTTCAACCCCCTGCTCAACCCAGGAAGACTATCAGAGCATCTCTGCCAGGTGATGATCCCTGTTTCTCTTTAATGCCTCCAGGGTCGGAGCACTCACCAACCCCCGAGGTCACTGGTTCCAGGACATAATACAACTTGGGGAAGGATCTGAACTGGAGATAACATCTCCTCGACTTCTCCATCATTTTTATGGGGCTGTTGCGACCCGTAAGGGATCAAAGTGCCAAGAATCGGAGTATGCCTGTGATTGCAGAGGGTGAGAATGAAGATGACGACCATCCAAGTGGCATTGTATATGTTCAAGACTTTTTTTAAAAAAAAGTTACCTGGAGAGATGTCATTGCCAGAAATCTCCAGCAGGAGGACCTCACGCAGAGATCTCAAGCCTCGATCCAGAAGATCCTACACTCTATTGGGGTCAATACAGGGGTCACCTCCTCAAAGGCCACTGGAAGCAGGAAGGAGAAAAGAGTCTTACCTTTTCTTGGTAAGGCTTTGGCACTGTGTCGGGGCAGGCAAGAGCTCCTCATAAGAAAGTCCCAGACCAACCCTGACACACCCACCCACAACTATGGAGAGGACGATGTGGGGTGGGTGGGCAGGAGAAGCAAAGGAAGAAAAGGCGGAGCAAAATAGAGATATGCCCCACCCACCCTGGAGGCTCCTCCTCCTGCTGGATGCCCCCTCCCCCTGAAAGGGAATCTAAAAGGCCCCACAGCCAAGTGTGGGCAAAGGAAGGCCTGGGTGGTGGTGGGGTCACCTGGAGAGTCACTGTTTCTCCTTCCCTTTGCAAACCCCCCTCCACAAGGAAGGAAATCAAAAATGGAAAAAGGGGGTTTCTATGCAAAAGAGAAAAAAACAACCCCCCCCCCAGGATGATTCCCTGCATGCTGTCACACACACACATATGCATGGAGGAGATCCCAGTGAGCTTCCTAGTACCCCCCGGGTGGAATTGTGACCCTCCCCCTCTCTCCCCCCTGTAAATCATCCCTGTAAAAACTACATATGAAAAAGACATGCTCTAATCCAATGTTTCAACTTCTTTATCATTACAGGGGCATAGTCGATTTTCATACACTCTAGTGATGGAAGGCAGATAAACCTAGCTCCTGAAAAGGCCTGCCAGTATTTTGGGATGGTAAGGTTTTCCAGGCAGTTCGCTCTTTGGTGGAATTTGAAATTTAGACCAAAGTTCACGGGTGAACGGATTTTGCAGACATTGTAAACACCTTTTCTCGGTAAGTCTTTGGGACGACAAGCTAAACCCACCTTAAAATAGCATGAGAGCCCTCCTAAAGCAGACCGTGGCTGTCTCTGGTCCAGCCAGATGCTTTTAGGAAGCCTGTAAGCATGTGATGGAGGTGGGGGGGGGAAGGGGGAGGAAATCCCAAAAAACAGGGAGAAGCCTTGGAGGAGAAGAAAGAGAGGGAGAGACTGCGCCTTTTCGACCTTCCTGGAGGGATGCCCTTTTGTGTGTGTGTGTGTTTGTGCATGTGTTTGTGTGTGTGTCCCTTGCACAGACTGGCCAGGGACCGCCACCTCGACCCCCCCTTTGTGCAACCAGGAAGGCTCCTTGCCATCTTTCAACTTGCCCTCCTTTCTTCTTTCCGAGAGCCGGGGCTCCTGCCTCCCGCTTCCTTGCCTCCCTCCCTGGGCGTGAGGGGGGATATGGGCCCCAGAGATCCCCCCTCTCCCCCTTTGGATCCCCCTCCGCCTCCCTCTGGAGGAGACCCAGAGGGTAAAAAATGCCTTCGCTTCCCCTGGAAAACAGGCCCCTTTCTCTACAGCTTTAAACGAGGGAGAGGGACGGGGGTGGGGGGAGTCCCTTCCTCCTCCTCCTCCTCCCCCCCTCCGGGCCAGGCTCTACCTTGAAGGGACGTTTTCAGCCTCCCGCTCCTCTTCACAAAGAGGCTTTTCCCGCCATTTTGAAACCTGTTGGTGAAAATTCAGCCCCCTCTCCCCACCACACTCTCCCGGGGACTGGAGGAGGGGCGGGATACTTACCAGAAGGGTTTTCTCTCTCTCTCTCTCTCTCTCTTTCCTGAGGGAGGAATTTTTTTAAAAAATCAGCGGTTACTGACACTCGCCTAACCGCCTTCCTGAAGCGAGAGGTTCCGGCCGCCTTCTGAACTGCGCACGCGCCACAGACCCCACCCCACCTCACTCCGATTGGCTGACCAACGGCCCCCCTCTATGGGAAAGAGGGGCGCATGCGCAGGAGGGAGAGTGAGATGAGCAGCCAGTGAGGGGATCTCGCGCCTGCGCAAAGATGAGCCGTGGGTGGGCTTGGAGGGCAGCCCATCAGTCAGTCTCTCGACGGGAAGAAAGAGGGTGGGGGAAACGGAGGTTTTTGCCCAGCCTTCCAGAGGGATGGGCTTCTGCCCGGAGACAGGTGACGCGTAAGGAGCAGGTGGCGGAGCGAGCTCTCATTGGGTCTCCATTGTCTTCTCCTCCCCAGCGCGTCACTGAGTTACCAGGCAACCCCCCTCATAGACGCCATAATACGGCAGGGGGACGCCCAAGGAGACCAGCCCTGGAGAGCTTCTGCCCAGCAACGGGTGACGCGTAGGAGCAGCGAATTCTCATTGGTTCTCCATTGTTTTTCCCTGGGCGGAGCCAGAGCCTCTAGATGGACTCCCTCTGGAAGGCTAGCTGGGCAAGAAAACTCGTTTCCCCCACCCCCAACCGCTGATTTTTAAAAACTTCCTCAGGAAAGAAAGAGGAAGAAAACAGAAGTGGGGGGTGCGCTGTTGTTTTCCGTCGGGTTCAGGGGTTCACTCATGCCCGCCTCTTATCATTGTATCGTCATGGCCACACCCTGCCTTTCTAAACTTTAGAACCTAAACAGGCAGAAGTTCAACAGGGTGCGGCTTTTCCTCTGGTCCCAACCGTCTCCTCCTTCCCCACACGTTTGAATGGGGCAAGAGAAGGACTTCCCCCCCCCAGGATGAGGCTGGGCGGGAGAGTTGTGGTAGGAAGGAGACGTGGGCCAGCCCTCTGCTTTTCGGGGGGTCGCACCTCAGAGTTTGGGGGTAAAGCACCCCCCAGAAAGGAGGCCAGGAGTGGAGAGGCAACTCGCTGTCGAGAAGCACCAGTGACTCCACTCAAACTGGACCAGGTTTTTTGGGAGGGTGTCTTTCTCAATGACTCAGGCTCAACTCAGAACCCACCCAA